AAAACAACATAAAAAAGGACTATACACATGGACCTCACCAGATGAAATATACAGAAACCAAATTGGCTACATCTTTCAGAAGAGACAGTGGAAAAGCTCCATATCACCAGCCAAAATAAGGCCGGGGCAGATTTTGGAACAGGTCATCAATTGTTCATATACAAGTTCAGGCTGAAGCTGAAGAAAATGAAAACAAGACCATGATAGCCAAAATATGACCTTGAAATGCCCTACCTGAATTTAGAGATCATCTGAAGAGCAGATTCAATGTGTTAGACATTAAAAACGGAAGACTAAAAGATTTGTGACATGACATCGAGAGTGTCATATGGGAAAAAGCAAAAGATCATGAAGAAGACAAGAAAGAAGGAAGAGATCAAACTTGATGTCAGAAGAGACTCTGGAACTTGCTGTCCAGTGTAGAGATGCTAAAGTAAACAGGAGAAATGAGGTAAAATAGCTGAGCAGAAAATGTAAAAGGTCAGCTCAAGAAGACAAAGGCAAATATTATAGCAAAATGTGCAAAGACATGGCGTTAAAAAACCAAAAAGGAGGAACATGCTTAGCATTTCTCAAACTGAGAAAACTAAAGAAAAAATTCAAGCCTCAACTTGAAATATTAAAGGATTCTATAGGCAAAATATCGAATGATGCAGAAAACATCAAAGAAGATAGAAGGAATACAGAGAGTAACTGCACCAAACAGAAATGGTCGATATTCAACCACTTGAAGAGGTAGTCTATGATCAAGAGTCAGTGATACTGAAGGAAGAAGTCCAAGGTGCATTGAAGGCATTGACAAAGAACACGGCACCTGGAATTGATGAAATACAAGTTGAAATCTTTCAGCAAACTGATGCAGCACTGGAGGCACTCACTTATCGCTGCCAAAAAATTTGGAGGACAGCTATCTGGCCAACTAACTGGAAAAGATACATATTTGTGCCCATTCCAAAGAGAGGTGACCCAACAAAATGTAAAAATCTATGGACAACATCATTAAAATTGCAAGCAAGTAAAATTTTGCTAAAAATAATACAAAAACAGCTGAAACCACATATTGACAGAGAACTTCTAGAGGTTCAAGCCAGATTTAGAAGAGGATGTGGAATGAGGGAATATCATTACTGACATCAGAAGGAGCTTGGCTGAAAGCAGAGAATACCAGAAAGATATTTACCTGTGCTTTATTGACTATGCAAAGGCTTTCAATTGTGTGGATCATGACAAGCTTTGGACAGCATTGTGGAGAATGAGTATTCCAGAACACTTCAGTTTGCTCATAAGGAACCTGTAGATAGACCAAGAGGCAGTTGTTCAAACAGATCAAAGGAATAACAAATGTTTTAAATACAGGAAAGGTGTGCACCAGTGTTGTATTTGTTCACAGACTTATTCAACCTGTATTCTGAGCAAATAATCTGAGAAGCTAGATTATATGAATAAAAATATGGCATCAGGATTACAGGAAGACTCATTAATAACCTGCGATATGCAGATGATACAGCCTTGCTTGCTGAAAGCAGAGAAGACTTAAAATGCTAACTGATGTAGGTCAAAGACCACAGCTTTCAGTATGAGTTGCACCTCAATGTAAAGAAAACAAATATTAGATCAGTAAACAACATCTATGTAAATGGAGAAAAGATCGAAGTTGTCAAAGACTTCATTTTGCTCAGATCAACCATCAACCAGCAGTTGAGAAATCAAACAATGTATTGCATTAGGCATATCTTCTCCACAAGACCTCTTTAAAATGCACCAAGAACAAAGACATCAGCTTGAGGACTAAGGGTGTGCCTGATCCAACTCATGGTATCTTCAGTAGTCTTATATGCATGCAAAAGCTAGACAGTGAATAAGGAAGACCATAGAAGAATTGATGTTTTTGAGTTATGGTGTTGGAAGAGAATATTGAAAGTGCCATGGGCTGCCAATATGGTGTTGGAGGAGAATATTGAAAGTGCCATGGGCTGCCAAAAGAACAAACAGATATGTGTTGGAAGAAGTGCAGCCAGAGTGCTCCTTGGAGGCCTGGATGGCCAAACTTTGTCTTTCATACTTTTGACATATTGCTATGAGGGACCAGTCACTGGAGAAGGATATCATGTTTTGGTAAGGTGGAGAGTCAGAGAAAAAGAGGTAAGACCCCCAGTGAGATGGATTGGCCAAGTGGCAGCATCAATGGGCTCAAGTGTGGCAACAGTAGTGAGGTTGGCCCAGGATCGGGCAGTGTTTTGGTCTGCTGTATATAAGGTTACTATGGGTCGGTACCGACTTCCAATATTCTCCTCCAACACCATAACTTAAAAGCATCAAATTTTCTACGGTCTTCCTTATTCACTGTCCAGCTTTCGCATGCGTATGATGTTATTTAAAATACCATGGCTTGTGTCAGGTGCACCTTAGTACACAGCATTTATTACTTGTATAATTAAATAACGCATTGCTTTAGCAATTAAAGAAACATACATGGAGTTAATTCAAGGTTATGAAGATTGGAAAATTGAGTGGATTTCACAATTATATATATTCATTAAGAGAATTTGGAATATAAGGAAAACATGACAAAATTATAACTTGAGTATATAAATACAATTACTTTGAAAATTTTATGGAATTGTTGTTATTGCTGAGTACTGTGGAGTCTGTTCCAACTCATAGTGACCCTGCACAGTTTCCAAGGCTGTAAATCTTTACGGGAGCAAAAAGCCTCATCTTCCTCCCGCAGAACAGCTGGTAGTTTTGAACTACCTATATTAAATACATTTATTTTGAAAAGTGTGAATGTTGTATACTGACAGTAGATACAAGGAAACAGTTTAGCTGGAAAGAATGAGATTTAGAATCAGATGTAAGATTGAATCAAAGCTCTATAACTCACAGAATTTTGGATCTTGAGCTAATGAATCCCTCAGAGACTCAGTGCCCTGTGCAACTAGAGATAGCATCTAATTGGAAACCTATTTCAAGATTAAAGGTATATCAAGTATATAAAGAGTATAGCAAATAAATACTCAAAAATGGTATTAATTACTATTGACATTTAACTCATACTCTTGCTATTGTTACTACATTTATTTTTGTGTGAACAATGCTATTCATAATAGTACTTCTTTTATGTCTTAGTAGCATTGGTTTTATGTTAGAGACAGAAGTTCCTTCTGTTAACAATAGAAGGATTTGATCATGTTAATGGCTTAATTCTTAAAGACTACTTAGAATGATGTCTAGATAGTTTCTTAATTTTTCTAAATTTATCATTATTTCATAATCTGTTAAAGTATATTATTATACATTTATAGTTGATGTTTCAATGATTTCAGGTAATAGAATCAGCATTGAGAAAGCTGGAATGTGAACCCACTAATGTAGAAGAATTTATGGCACATTTTACTTTTTTGGATGCCATTTCTATAAAAATATCTAAACTAGAAAAAGAGTACTTAATAATTGCACAGCTGAATGCACTTGTAAAGTATTACCAGATACATATTCCAGAAGAGCAAGTTGCCATATATAAAATCCTTCTGATCAAGTTTAGTCAACTAAAAGCATCCATGAAGTTAAGTGAAACACATAAAGACACTGCTTTTGCTAAATTCAGGGAAAATTTGGAAGCATGTGTCACTGGTCTACAGGTTAATGCTATTAATTTAAAGGCAAAGGTAAGTTTGTGTTTGCTTTTTAAATGAAAAAATCAATTTGATCTTCATGTTGTTGCTAGTTGCTGTGAAGTTGGCTCTGATTCATGGTAACAGAACAAAATGTTTCGGGTCCTGCACCATCTTCATGATAGTTGATTTGAGTCGATTCTTGCAGCTACGAGTCAGTCCATTTGATTAAGTATTCCGCCCCCCCCCTTTTTTTTTTGTTTAGCCCTCCACTATATGAAATATGATGTTAAGTTGATCTTATTCACATGTATTTGGTTATTTGCTTTCTGTGGAATCTTGGGGAAATATTTCTAGAATTCTCAACCTGTCATTGTTAAGTGCCATGAAGTTGATTCTGAATCAGAATCTTTATTACCATTAAACAAAATTTTGGTGATTTGTGAACTTGAGTGGGAAGCAAAATTACATCTCTGTTTTCACTAACCTCTAACAGAAATTTAGCATTTTCTTTAATTATAAATGATTGGAGGTTGCAAACCACGGCAGAGCTGGGGACTTTTTCCCTGGGCTTCAACAGCCTACCAAAGGGTTCCATGGAATTAACAAAGGCTTAAAAACTCCTGAAATGTGTCTAGGCCTTATTCTGGACCAAACAGTAACAATGGTTACAACTCGACTCACTTATTGTGAGAAGCAGACTATAAATAAACCCCTGAGTGTTTATTTTTCATTAATAAGTATCAGGAATTGTGCTAGGCATTTTACAGGGAATACATGATTTACCCTTTATCTACACAAAAAAACTGAGATAATGAAGAGGTGAAGTAACTTGCCTAAGATCACCAAGTTATTAAGAACCAAAACTCTGGAACCCTTACTTTTCACTACTATCCTCTTCTCCCTAACACTGCAAATTATCAACGCATTTTGAGCACTTTCTACCTATTAGACATGTTGTTGTTGTTGTTGTTATGTGCCGTGGAGTCGGTTCCGACTCATAGTGACCCTGTACAGGGTTTCCAAGGCTGTAAATTTTT